AGTACAAGAAAATTTGCTCGTAAGAGCATACATAAGTAACACTACTCCGACAGCATAACGGCTCCATGAGTAGTGTAGTCCCTTAAACATAGAGCCGGAGTACATAACATAGTTCCTAATGATCTATTATGATGAGTCTATCCCTAACCGCGATGAGCTGCGTCCTACTATAATGGTGAAATCATATGCCGAAGTGCTGAGCTAGCAGCTGCGCCATCTCTGTCATGTCTACAATGACCTCATCCCTCTCAAGCTCTGCTCGCACGGCTCGCGCTTCCATGGCGAACAGTTGTTGTCGTAAGTCGGCAATCACGGCCTCTGGGGAGCGATTTTCCCTCGCGGGATTCACTGGCGGGACGTGGGGATCCCGTTGCACTTCGCTAACAGGAGATGCGTGTGATCCATGTCCGGGGCCTGGTACTCCTCCATGTCATCGTCGGTCTCCTCGAACTCGTAATCGGTGTCCATGTACTCGTCTGGTTCAACACCGTGGACTCTCTCTTGATTTCCCTCGGGTCCGTCCTCGAGCACCCCATGTGCCTCAGGGGCTTGGAAGAACTGGATGCCCTGATGCTCTCCCCCATGAAGGCTGAGAGAGAGTATGCGAATAAGCTACCACTTTCCTATAATTCTATCGTTATGGCACAAGCTAAACCGACGTACTCTTTTCGGTGGTAAGGGTATAGTTTTAGGTTCCCTAGATATCCCGATCTCATCAGAACGTGCGTTAGTTATACGTTGGAGAGGATGCAGTTGATCAGGCTACATCTACCCCTTGGTACCACTAAGAACAGTCCTGAGTTAACCGAGACACTAGTATTATTTTTGTTTGGTTCGGCGTTAAGTTCCTATTCCTAGTGCAAACAAGGTTGTTTTATTTACTTGTTTTGTTCAGAGTTATGTTAGTCCCTCTTTTTGGTTTATAGTTGCATATCCGTGTGTGGCGAGATATGCTAGTTCACTATAAACAATGCTCTGATACCAACCTGTCACACCCCCGAACCGGACGGCGGAAACGTTCGAGGGCTATCGTGACTCATTGAATACCATTACAATGCATATACATGAAACATAACATAAAACATCACCAACATTTGGAATAGTACAACCGTTAGTGTTTACATTCGTTACATTGTTCAAACGTTACATTCTCAAAATAACTGTTCAACGTCACTTAAATCACAGCAAACATCATAGAATATAAATCATCCGTCACCTTATCTGTTACCTGAGAATACAAGTATTTTGAAAAACGTCAACATACGAAATGTTGGTGAGTTCATAAGTAAAGTTTGAAAACCAATGTAATGTTTGAAACCCATCAGAAAATCCGATATTTTCTAATAATAAAATAGTGTAAAATATGTGTTGATCCATGAGTATGCATGTTTGAATTCTTTTTGATGTAAGCGTAATAGTTGTAAAAAAATTTCGACCGGTAATTCATAATTTGTAATTGTTGAAAACCCTAGGAAAACCCGACGTTTTCCTATCACTTTGTATTACTTAGTTTGTATACCGTTGTTTCGTTTCGTTAGAGTGAATCATGGAGCTCCGGAGGCATTGAGAATACAATGGGTGGTGAAGTGTTGTGACGTACATTAACGAAAACGTCCAATCGACAACCTTACAAGCGATCCCTTAAGCACCACTCGTATTTCTTCACACAACTTGATCCTCCCGGACTTGTGTAGTCCCACGACCGGAGGGAAGGAGAGAAGGTGCGAAACCCTCGGTATTTCCCCGCGTCGTTCGGGATAAATGCAATTGCGAAGGGCCCGAAGCCCAAACCGCAATCGTGAGTTACCGACTTTACTAGCAGCACTGAAGAACCCTTGGGGTCCAGCAGCATGTTTGCCATTGAAAGTCCTGTTACGTCATGTCGGATCGGTAAAACCCAACACTTCGTAAGTGAGAGAGAGACCTTCGGGCCTTAAGATCAGGTCATTGGGCTAGCTAGGCTCAACGAACAAGATTTTACACTTTTGGGCCCAAAGATGGTGCATAGACGTCTGCGCACACTCGTAGGTATAGTGAATTCTCCATCGTTATTAGTTATAAATCGAAATGTAGTAACTTCGTCGTGTTAGTGGTTTTGGATTTTTATTGGTTCGAGACCGAACCAATTCGTTTAACAACGACTTTTGGTATTGTAGTATATTGTATTTCGTCGGCAAGCGTGGTACCATTAATTGGTCAAATTGAATGTATTAACTAGCCTTGAAGATTTTCTGTTTTCAGCCCTTCCTTAATTGTAGAATTTACTCTTTTCACCCCTTTATTTAAAAACTTTCCGGTTTGGTCCTTAATCAGATTTTCTTGACATTTTTATACTAAAAATTATTGAAATAAGTATTTTCTAGCATTTTTATCATAGAAAACAGTTTAAGCCCTTGAAATTTTAGTTTTCTCGGTTATAGTCCCCCTTTTTCCGCAACTTTTACATTTTTGACCCAATTTGGAAAAATTTTACAACTTTGGTCCCTTTTAAACTTGAAAAGTATTTTAAACCTTTGAAAAGCACATGGAACACTTATAGTCCACTATTTTACAGAATAATGCAGTTTTGGTCCTCCAATTTAGAAAATTTCGCATATTGGGCCTTATTGGGCCGAAAATGTCATACTTAGCCCAATAAGCTTGGAATTTATGTTTTTAACCCTCTAAACCATATATTTTTCAGAAAATACATTGTGTAAACTGTTTTGACTTATCTCACCCATCAGATTTCGAAAAGTTTCACTTTAGGCCCTTTAACTTTGTATTTTCAACATTTTATGTCAAAAAAATGAGTTTTTAACCCAAGTTAAGTGTTGTCAAGCTATTTAGTCATTTTCTTAGTATACTTTGCATGTGATAGTCTATTTCATGCTATGATAAAATATATGTCTCGGTTTTTAGCATATCACACTAGATCTATCATAAAAATTCATACAAAACATACATGTAAGCATAGAAATCAACCACAACATACACATAATGATGGATCTACACTTTTTCTTGTATTCTCCCCCACAAAAACTCATAAAAACCGAAAATAAGGGGATATGAAACTCACCTTGGGTGTTGGTTCGGTTTTTGAAGAAAGTATAGAAGAAAGTTTGGTGATTTTCGGCCTTTGCACTCCTTGATGAAATTTTCGAGTTTATGGGGTTTCTAGAGTGCAAGATCATGATTTTTGCATGGATTAGGAAGAGATTTTTGATAAATAAGGAATACAAGTCATAGATCCAAGCAAAACCTTACCTTAGATGATGATTTTGTGGAAGAACTTCCTTGAATGCTACCTAAACTTCGAGACTTTGGATGGAGAAGAAGAAGAAGCCTTGAGTGAATTTTAGAGAGTGTTTGTGAGTGTTTTGTGTGTGTGTGGTGTTGCTCTCGGCCGAAACAAGGAGAGAGGGGGGGGGATATAGACATGAGGTGATGTGCATGGATATATGGAGTGGATTTGCATGGAAAACCTATGGGCAATAATGAGGTGGCACACTAAGGTCAACCCTCCTCTTGGGCTTGAGCTTTTGGGCCGAAAATAATGGAGGAAATGAGGGTGTTTGGGCCTTAATTACTTAAGCCCAATTTTTCTTGGTTAAGTTGGGTGATTTTTGGTCCAAATCAATTTAAATGTGATTTTTATGACTTGTTAGGGTCAAATTAGGTTAATTGTGGTTCATAGTCATTAATTTATTTCATTCTAGGTTCAACCTAGCCCAAAATATTGAAATAAATGAATGCGGGTCCAATTAGAGCCCAATTAGGGTTCTAAGCCCATGATAGTCCAATTGGAAGCTTATGGGTCCATTTGGATCCAATAAGGAAGTTCTAGTCCAAAATGGACTTAACAAGAACTTCTAGGGTTTTCAAATTGTTTGATGACTATTTGTAGTACTTGTATAATGTATGTGATTGAAGTTTTTGATTCACATTAGCTTGAATGTATGGATTACATGACACAAAATTTCCAGTTGTGACATCAAAGCCGTCACCAATGCTTATCTCAAACAGGAGGAAATGGCGCCCCAGCCGAGCCCGATTCAGCAAGAAAAGCAAGACAGCAACCAACAGAGACACAAACCACCATTCTAGGCACATATCACAACGGTATAGACCATTCAACATGGATGATAGCATAAGTAGCCACAACGATGTCCATGAAATCAATAAGACTCCAACCAAGGAGAACAAAGAAAAAACCAAGTTCTGTGAGTAACATCGAAGCAAAACACATGACACCGAGTGTACAATATTGAAGCGGGAGATTGATGAGAAGCAACTAGTGGAGAATATAGTTGACATAGCAAATGACCTCAGGGCGAGATTCGATGGGGACAAGCATCAACCCAAAAATCAGAAAGATGGGGGCAAGGATAACGATAGAAGGGTCGAGATACTCACCGTCACAAGGCCCTGCCCATGTAGCAACCGCCAAAGCCAGTGCGTAGCCGCACATGTATACCAACAAAACATCCTAAGTATAACATTTTCAACGCACAATCCCGACCAAAGCATTGAGATCCGAACGACCCTTTGCACATCACCGGTTTCATTGGCCAAAATCGTGTTGAACAAGTATATATAGATACCGGAAGCAGGGTCGGACATGATTTATGAGCACTGCATTCGGTAGTTACCAATTGAATGGAAAGAGCACATACAGTTGCCACTCCAGGGCCCATTAGTTGGGTTCATCGGTCATGACATATAGCCGATGGGAACAATCACGCTCCCATTTACATTGATCAGTCGTGAAGGAACTAAACGAGTAACAAGGGCGTTCGAATTCTTGGTTATTGACCGCCCGAATGATCACACCATCCTACTAGGCCAGTCGGCACTGTTCCAGTTACAAGCAGTCCTATCTACCTTTTCACGGTGTTCTCAAGTTCAACATAGGTGATGGATCGGAAACGGTAGTCGCAGTCAAGACTGGTAATGGATGTGACACTCAACGAGGAATGAAACGAGAAACCTGATTGCCTCGGAGCGACGACTTCCAGCAGATGGAAGATCCACAGTGGAAAGCGGCAACAACACAAGCACTGACCCGTGAATCTAGAAAAAGACAACGAGGTGTATTCAGGCGGCTCACAACATCTCTCCACCAAGGAGAGCGACATGCTAACATAACGATGCATCAACCAAAGTATGAAGCGAAGATCGCAAAGCAAAAAAAGCACCTACTCATAGGTAAAGACAACAACCAGGCCCACAACCGATGGTCGAGTTGTGCCTAACCAGAGAGCGATTTGAAACTCAAATAGCATTTTGGCCAATGCAGAATATGAACCAAAATCCCGTGGGATGAAAGGAATGGGTATTAAAGCCAGGGACAGAGTGCCAATCCTCCCACCATGCAAACTTTTCTACAGGAGAAAACAACTAGGCACCCCCAACGCATTAAACGACACACCAGGCAATAACGTGAGACACAAAGTTGATAGACGAGCCAAACAACGCGTATGACACTCTCATCAGGCAGCAGGGAGTCACCTCCAACTTGACAAATTTGTTCACTAAAGTGTTTCCTACACCCTAATTTGAAAACATGGTACGAAACATTGGAATGTGGCGCTTTAATGAAATCAAGTGATGTGATGATCAGGGGGAGTTGGAAACATATTATACTATTTTCCTTAGCTATGTTTTTCAACTGGGTTTTCTTAGCAAGGTTTTTAACGAGACAATTGTTCTCAATATCTATTATTAATCACGTACTCTTTTTCCTTAATATAGGGTTTTTTCCCATGAGTTTTTACCAATTAAGGTTTTAACGAGGCATGATACAATCGTTATTCAACGGGAAGTGTTATGAATTATTATTTAATGAATGACTATTGAATTTTCCATATTCCCCAATTACTCTCCATAATTAGAGAACATTATAGCAAACATTATTATGAGTTTTATGAATGTAGTTATGCACCACTATAATGAGCATTCATAACATACATTACATTTCATCTTCTTTGTCTAGTATAAATAGTGAATATTATATATTGTAAAGTTTGATGATTTCATGACAAGTATTAAAATATAATTTCCCTCTACTTTTATATATTTCTTTACTCTATAATTTTTTGATATCTTTTTGTACTCTATAATTTATTTGATCATATTTATATTTTATAACAAATGGAAGATTATTCCTGTATCCTAGGTTTTGGTTTTGGTGGGAGAAAAAAGAGTGAAGGAAGCACTCATATGAGATAATTAAAAAAAAAAAAAAAAAAAAAAGACTGTTTTGACTCTCAGACTTAGAGCATCTCCAATGATGAGTTTTTTTTATAGTTTATTACTATTTGTTTAAGTTGTCAAAATAATTAAACATCATTCAAGTACATGACTTATTTACTTATTTTTTTGACCACTCAATATATATTGAATGGTCAATCTAGTTTAAAGGTTTGAACAATCAATCATTTTCTCTTTAAAGATATTTTATTTTCTACCTTTGATTTATTTATTATTTATCTAAAATTTATAGATAAACAAATATATAATACATAAATATAAATTATAGTAATATATAAATCGTTTGTATGTGAATTAATGTTTATATTAAAATATGATGTATTTAAAAGACGATTAGTTAAACGGGGGGATTATATAATAATTTAGATAGATAAAGATAAATAGTTAAATTATAAAAAAAAGGTCATAAAAAAAAGTTGAAGCATTGGAGAAACAATTTAATTAGAGGTAAATAAAAATAAAGTAGTGAAATACCAATATTTTTGACCTATAATATAAGTTTACCGTTGATAAGGGTGTTCGTTTGGATGGATCAGTTCGATCCGATCCAATTAAGTAAATCCAAATTGATTTCGGTTTTCAAAATATGGATCCGAATAATCAAAACTAAATTCACATCTGATCCGATCCGATCCAATTACAATTCGCTTGGATCAGTTTTTATAATTCGGTTTTCAAAAACTAAAACATTTTAAAATGGCATATATTTACAATATTATCCCACTTTTTATAGAAGAAACAAAAAAAATATTTAGTTGTGATTTAAAATTTATAAACTACTAAGAATGTATATTATAGTTTAATATTTAATAAATTACGAACTTTTTAAAGAAAATGCATATTAATGTTTTTTATTAGATTAAACTTTTTTGAACTTATTTGAAAAACTAAATTATAAAATTTATAAATAGTTATACTTATATTAAAAAATAAATAAATGATAAATTGTTATTCGGTTTTTTTGGATTATTCGGTTCATATTTTATAAAAAAAACCAATCTGAAATCCAAAATAATAATTCGATTTTGTTGAAAACCAATACAAAAATCTGAATATCCGAACCAAATAATCCAATCAAATTTGTTCAATTAGACTATTCGGTTTTATCGAAATAATGAAAAGTCGTTACCTTCCAACATTGTTATGCTTCAACAATATCCCACAACATAAAATCATTCTTAATAAATGAAGGTTTTTCATATCAATCTTTTATGAGTTTTAACACTTGTTATTTTGTGATATTTTTGATATAAATATTTTTCATTTGTCAATTTTTGATTTGTTTCAATTTTTAAAATTAAAATCATATATTCATATATGTAAAGTATTAAATATTATATATATATATATATATATGATATTAAATTGCAACAAATATATTTTTCCTTTGTTATTTTAAAATTATACATTAAAAAATATTTTCTGTTTATTTAATGTTTAATTTTTGTTTTTTTAAATCAAATACGGGTTTCACAGTTAACTTAATATATCGGTGAAATTGCTGTCTGCTCAAATACGATTTCTTTGTTTTTCTTAAAATTAATATTTTTCCATCGTCATACACGTAAGATATAACCGCTGCCTTCGTCAAACCCCCAATTCCTTGCCGGAGCGCCGCCATCCATGGACAGGATCTCCTCACTCCTTCCGCACGTTAAGTTGGAAAGGCTACCCATATCAACGCCCAATCACCCTTCGTCGGAATCAAACCTCATCAAACAAGAACAACCAGACATGACAAACACTAACACCGTCGATATACTGCCACCAGCTTTCATAAATTCCATCAACGAAATCCGCCGCCTCTCCACCGCCTTATCCACATTCCTCCGCCAATACGACGAGTTACAAGACCACCTCAATCTTATCAAATCATCTATTAACTCCAATTTCCCAAATCACCTCTTATATACCGCTAACCCTAACGAATCAACCCTAACTTCATTAGCAGAAACCTCTCGTACTCACACCATAACCGCTGTTCAAGAAGCAACGGTTTCAGAACAAAACCCTAACGTAACCGCAACTAATTGCGAACGGAGCCATGAACACGTTAGAAAGCCTGTGAAACCCAATTTATCAAAGAATCCTGAAGAAATTAATACACCGGAGAAGACTGAAGAAGTTGATACTGGGAAGAAGACTGGAGAAATCGATATCTCGAAGAAGTGTGCTGTTTCTGATTTAGAAGACATCTGTAAAAGGATGTCTGGCCGGCACCTAAAGAAGTATGTAGCGACACATATTTCTGACATGAATAAAATCCGCCAAGAACTTCCAAAGGCATTGAAATTGGCCAAAGATCCTGCAAAACTCGTTTTACTTAGCATAGGCAGGTTTTTCGCAGGGGGGAGTAAATCATTCTCAAATGGATCAACGCTGAGTATGACAAGGCTGGCTTCAGTTTTGATTTTGGAGTGTTTTGTGATGATCAGCAGTGACAACATTAAGATTACAAAACAAGACGAGGAGAATGCAGCACAAGCAGCTGATGATTGGAAAAAAAGGATGATCAAAGAAGGTGGATATAACACAGCGAATGAGGTTGATGCCAGGGGTTTGCTTCTGCTTATCAGTGGGTTTGGGATTCCAGATCATGTTTTCGGGAATAACGATATTGTAGATTTGATTAAAGCCAGCAATGTGAAGGGGATTTCCAATGCACTTGTTGGTTCCACCATTTTCATCCAAAAAGTTACAGGTTTGTAATTTGTTTGAAGAATTGAGTGCTTTTATATGTTAATTTCTTTCAGTGGTGTTTCATGGTTAATTGTATCTGTTTCAGAGCTAATTGATTGGATGGTGAAACTTAATATGGAAATTGAAGCTGCTGATCTTGCTTATACTCTGGGATTGGAAGATAAGTTCCATCCTCAAACCATATTGACCACATTCTTCCACAATAAAATAAAAGACAAACAACATACGTCTTTAGATCAGGTTCTACCCTATATCCTCTATCTCTCTTGTTTCTCCATTTTGATAAACTAAAATGGTGTTTATGACTTTATGATAATTGATATGCTACTTTTCAGATCAAGAACCAGTTATCTGAATTAAAATCCTTAAGCAAATGTTTGGAATCTCACAACATTGACCCATCAAATCTTTTTCCCGACTTTAAAATCAACGAAAAAATACAACAGCTCGAGAAAGAAACAGTCGAGCATGATTTGGTGGAAACACAGAAGAGGAAAGCCGAACCAAAATTACAAGTACCAAAACGTAGTCGTGGAAACATGCCACATCAGCAGAGCCCCTATCCCGCCATTGAAAATGGAGGTATGCTGGCAGGTGTTCATGGGGGACCCGTTGTGGACCACATGGCTAATGGTGGACCCTACAGTAGATACAATGACCCAGCCTTGAGCGATAGGTCTCTTGGTCAACCTTATTTTTCACAACCTTATTCTCCACAACCTTCATCGAGTGGTTTGATTGGTTTGTATGGTGGACCACCGGGTCGGGGATTTATAGAATCGTTTCCCGAGTTGCCAACGTTCGCAAGGCGGGGCCCAGTTTCGGATCTTTACAGTTTTGCTGATAAGGTTTGAATGCACCTTATGGTAAATAATGTTTGTTCTTGATCCTTATTGTAATGCTCTTTCTTGTTCCTTAGGCTTGGAATGCTCTTTAAAATATGCAAGCTTAACCTATTAACTCTTTGGGTTTTGTTACATTTGTCTCTTTATTTGTGTTTTTTACATTTGTGTATGTTTATTTGGGTTTTGTTGTTAGAAAAGATGGTGAAACAAAGTATAAAGTTGAAAGTGTAATTAAAACTTTATATAAAAATTAAAGAAGATCCAATCATCCGCATACATGGATCATTCGTATGCAATTATTGCTTATTTGACATCGACATAAGCAACAATGTGGCAATTGAAGTCGTACTTGAGATTATAAGTTACCTTAAATGATACTATGATAGAAATATGTAAGTTGATTGCTATTCTAGGTAAAATCAAAGTATCTTGAGTATAATGGTAGATAAATACAAATATGTTGTTTTTTGACACGGTTTTTGGTACTATGCCACCTGATTATTAATCTTATATTTTAGACCCCACTTTTTAATGGTTTATCTGTTTATGTAACTTTTGTGAAACATAGCGACATTGTCGTAAATTTGGTATTAGATAATAGATATGAACTATTTCTAAACTTTTTATGAAACATGAGGATGTTTTTTGTAATTTTTAATCAAGCATGGACCATTTTGTAATTTTCTTAAATGTAAGGACCATACCTATAATTTCGTACAACATAAGGATAATTTCTGTAAATTTTCGCTATTAAGCATGCACTATTTCTATAAATTCCAAATTAAATAAGAACCATTTTCCAATTTTATAATACGCATGGACCATTTCTAAAAATATTTAATAAAAGAATATTATAACTATGCTAACTGGCATTAATTGTATAGGATGACAATGTTTTATGTTATTATACAGATAAACATTGTTCCACTTGCCATTCATTAATCCCACACCACCATATCTCACTCTTTCAACTCACCATCCATCAATCTCACACCACCGCACCCCATCCTCACACTTACCTCTATTGGTACACATCCCACCATATACATACATCAACATCTATATTTGCACCTATATCCCCTCCACACCCCCCCCCCCTTCCCTTCCTTGTTTTATGTTATTGTATAGATAAATATTGTTCCACTTGCCATCCATTAATCCTACACCATCTCACAACTACCTTTATTGGTACACATTCCACCATATACATACACCAACATCTATATTTGCACCCATATCCCCCCCCCCACACACACACACACACCCCCACACACACATACTCCCATACGTATACATCCATGTCGATTGCCATCTTGTCGGAAATATGTTAATGACTTAATGGTAATAATAATTTAGTGATATTTCTAGGGCTAATGTCATAAAAGTCCTTAAGTTTTCAAGAAATTATTGGTTTTACCCTTTGAGATCTTTTGGGTTCATTAATGCCTAATATTTGGATAAATTATATCAAAATTGCCATTTAGCAGGTAAATAACCGTTACCCGGTCACACTCTCCATTTAGTGAGCCATATTGACTTCAATCCCCCACCCACGTTTCTTTCTATTGTTTATTGTCTTCTCTAATTTTTGCTAATCAATTTGTATCAGATGCAGTTGTGGTGCATATCAGATGCTTCCTCCTTGGTGCTAATTACAATCATGTTAAAACTTCATATAGAGAGAGAACGAGAATGTGTACCCATTAATTTTTCTTAGTCTCTTCATATTCTCACACAGCTTGATATTAACCAAATTTATATAATTCAAATGAAAAGTCTGATAATTGAGTTGCAACAAAGGGGGGAAAGAGGTAGTGAGTGCACAGATGTGTTGCACTTGGAGAAATTCGAACCCTAAGTTCCAATTCACAACCAACAGGAGCAGAATCATGATGGGTTTTTTGTTTGTTCGATGCACGATGTGTTTCTCAAGAATCCTCGGTTGTGTAAAAGCTTCAATAAGCGCAGTGGAAGGGGCCACGTTTACCAAATCCCTCAGATTCAAAGTTTTTTTTTTTTTTTTTTAAGATTACTTCCCTCTCCTGGCGCCCTGTTCATCATCATATTTCTTTGATTAACGCCTGTAGATAGAGAGAAAAAGGGGCACAAAATAAACACACACACCAAGGGGAATACTATGTTCTTCGTTTTAATTGTACATCCAACACACAGGTGTTCGATAATACATAACAAGAGAAGAGAGACATGTGATTTCAAGGGAGTTAGGTTGTGTGTGTGCGTATATGTGGTGGAGAGAGAGAGAGAGAGAGAGAGAGAGAGAGAGAGATAAAGAGACAGGGATATTATCACAACAATAGTCACCGTCCTTCGATCTGATTCAAGAAGAGGGGATTCAAAGAGGGAAAATGTGGGATTAGACCTTCTAATCGAAGGGAAGAACATCATGGCAACAATCACCATACTTTGCAAGATCCACAATAATTTCAATCATCAACAAGACTTGCAAATTAGATTCAAGGAAAGAGGGATAGAGAGAGACGTATAGAGGATAAAAAAAATCACCTTTTTTTACAAAGCAAAGGCGAAAGAAGAAGCAAGCCCTTATTTTCACACATGAACACACAGTCATAACATTGATGATCGAAAGTTGACTGGTAAACCTCCTAGAAGGGCATACGTGTAAAAATTAATTTAAATATCCGACATTGATGAACCCAAAAAACATAGAGGGTAAGACCAACAATTTCTTGAAAACTTAAGGGCTTTTATGACATTAGTCCATATTTCTATAAACAGTATATTTCTTTTGGGGTATATACAATATATGATTTAAGCTTAAGATGTTAAAAGAAATATTAGAATGGCTAGTTTGTGAATTTATCATACAAAGGTGAATTAACTACAAACTAAAATGAATTAAAGGTTTTAAGTGTAATTATTTTTAATTCAAATTGGTAAGTATTTATTCCATAAATCAGATAACGGTGATACAAAAACCTAACCAACTTTCCTTATAGAGCCGACCTTACTTTCCTTTATATCCTTTCTTTCCTATCAGTTTTCTCTTTAATTCTTGGTTTTGAAGACCTAGTTATATTGTCAGGTCATTTCCTAGAGATCCAATGGTCGGAATGTCTTGATTTTTTGACATAAGTTTCCAATCATCCATATAAATATTATGTACAATTGGATTTTCAAGATCTACTTTGTAGACTCGGAAAACTTTGTTTTGTTTGTTGGACAACAACATTTTCTAGGTTTGGTTTTGACATCAACAAAGATAAAGGTTGATGTATTTTGCTTAGTCATTGTCTTGCTTCGACATTAAAGGAGTTACGCATGGTTTGGGCTCTCTTATCATCCAAAATAAAGCAATGAACCGTTTCAACAAGAAATGTACATCATTATTCCCTCTCGCTAGGGGTTTAGGTTTTGTTGCATTTAATCATGAACTTGTGATCCTTAGTATAATATGATGGAAAAGTTTTATTAATTTGATTACATTACGTTTGTTATAAAAAATAATCTTATTTCAAAACACCATACCCCACCCACGTATCCACCCTTACCACACCACCCCACCGACCTCCACACCTACCTCACTCATACACCTCCACCTCCACTTGCACCCCCACACCCATACCCATTTGCATTTACACATATATACACCTACATACACATTTCCTTTTATTTCTTTATCTATTTAACTTGCACCCAACTTCCGACGAAGTTACCCTAGACCTAGTCTCAAAGCAAAATATGTGTTAATTGTTTTTATCAAGTGTAATTGTATATTTTGTTTTGAAAAGCTATATTTTATATATTATGTGTAAATTCAATAAAGACATAAGTTTAAGTAGGTATGAGTTTTATAAAATAATTTTTTAATTAAAGTTTTATCATATTTATTAAAAGTAATAATAAAAAATCAATAAAATGGTATTTTGATAATATAACAAATTCTTATTTATCCGGATCATAATTCTTTTAAGGGAAAATGACACATTAGCCCAACAATATTTTTCAAATTTACCGAATTAGTCACAGGGTATAATGTGGATGTTGATCTACTTATTTCATTCCTCTGACCACAATAACATATCCACTATACTTATAATCATTGGAGAAGATGTGGATGTCCAGTCATCATGACGTGGCTGTCCACTTAGACTTGTGAGACTATTTATGAGTTTGTCTCTCTTATAAACCCACATCCTTCACCTTCATTTACACCACAAACACACACACACACACACACACACAAGATACATAACTTCAACTTCGATGGCCATTGCTCTATTTCTGACTCTCATTGTGATTCTTCGTCTTCAACTACATCTCCCACTCTCTGATTTCTCCAATCATTCCACTGATTACATTCTAAAGCGTACTATCTTAAACACATATCATGTATCCGATTCGTAGTAATTAATGCACCTATTATTAACAATCAACTTTGAAAAAGGTTCACAAGGTTTAACGATACGTATCAGGATAATGTTTTTCAAAGCTTTAGAGTCATCATAGCAAGAGAAACTTGGGTTAATTTTAGTTCATTGAAGAGAAACGAAGTGACAACAAACTCCAAGCTCAATAATAAAAAGTTGATTATGATCAAGTTTCAAACTACTTATAACATACAACTACAAGACTAAATCTGAACATGAAACATCTCAAAGCAGGTAAAAGTTCAACCAAAATAAAAATTCTACAAGAGAATTAAGTATAAATAACCAAAAAAACTAGGAATCTTACCTTCTTACTGAGGGATGACTAAGATAGAGTGAGCCATAAAAACACAATGAAGAAGAACGACCCTCCAAAATGTCAATCTCTCAACGCTTTCCTCAGATCCTCACGAAAAATGGGCCCCACTAAAATTTGAAAATAACACCCCGCTCCCGCGTTGTAGCAAAGAAAAGAAGAGAAGAGAAAAGAAAGTAAGGAGAGAAAAGAAGAGAAAAGAAAGGAAAAAGAAACTGTCATTTGTGCTTCCGAGTTGGAGAGAAATGGAAGGAAAGTTAAACATTTTGTTCTTTCTTTTCAAATCCTCCCAAATCGGGAGGAAAGTTAGGAGATAAAGTTTTCCTTCAATTTCCTTCCACTTCCTTCCTTTAATAAACCTCGGGAG